TTGATTTCAACGTTGACTTTAATGTTGACCTTAATGTTGATTTCAACGTTGACCTTAACGTTGATTTCAACGTTGACTTTAACATTGACTTCAACGTTGATTTCAACGTTGATTTCAATGTTTATTTCAACATTGACTTTAACGTTGACCTCAACGTTGAAGTCAACGTTGATTTCAACGTTGATTGTAATGTTGAGGTCAACGATGTTGACTTTAACGTTAAGATCAACGTTGATTTCAATGTTGAGGTTAATGTTGAGGTCAACGTTGAGGTCAACGTTGAGGTTAACATTGAGGTCAATGTTGAGGTTAACGTTGAGGTTAATGTTGAGGTTAACGTTGAGGTTAACGTTGACTACAACGTTGAGGTTAACGTTGACTTCTACGTTGATTTCAACATCGTTTACGTTAAAAATGATTAGTTAATTGTAAATTTAAAATAGTTGACCTCCGGAGCTAAATCGGAAGTGATCTGCAAGATCGGAAGTGAATGCAGCCCAGGATTTTATTGACATAAGGGTACAACGTTGATTTCAACGTTGATTTCAATGTTTATTTCAACGTTGACCTTAACGTTGACCTCAACGTTGAAGTCAACATTGATTGTAATGTTGAGGTCAATGATGTTGACTTTAACGTTAAGATCAACGTTGATTTCAACATTGAGGTTAACGTTAAGGTCAACATTGAGGTTAACGTTGAGGTTAATGTTGAGGTCAACGTTGAGGTTAACGTTGAGGTTAACGTTGAGGTTAACGTTGACTACAACGTTGAGGTTAACGTTGACTTTAACGTTGACTTCTACGTTGATTTCAACGTCGTTTACGTTAAAAATGATTAGTTAATTGTAAATTTAAAATAGTTGACCTCCGGAGCTAAATCGGAAGTGATCTGCAAGATCGGAAGTGAATGCAGCCCAGGATTTTATTGACATAGGTACTCGTTTCTTCCTGTTACTGTGATCACGTTAATTTTTATAGTAATTCTCCGGTAACTAAACGATTATAACGATTTGATAATTATGTTATCAATTGTGCGTAATTGTACAGTATGCACATGATCTAGTTTAATGGAAAATCTCTCACGATCCTAACGATTCGGAATTAGGCCGTTTGAAGTTAATTTTTCGGTTAACATCACCCCCCCCCTCAGCTGAAGTCTCCTCCCAAAAAATGAACAGCCAATCAAAACGCTGGATGACTCTCGCCAGTCACCTGATTTACATCAACCAATGAAATTGCTCACCTTCGTTCATTTTTATATGTTCGTTTCATATGTTCGTTTCATTTTACCCCCTCCCCCCCCTCTCGAGAGTCCTGGCAAAGTGATGTTAAACGAAGAATCAACTTCAAACGGGCTTATGTCATCAATCGCATGTAATTGTACAGTATGCACATGATTTAATTTAACCAATCAAATCATGAATAAATAACCAATCAACGTGCAGATTCACGGACAGATTTCAATGTCGTTTACGTTAAAAATGATTAGTTAATTGTAAATTTAAAATAGTTGACCTCCGGAGCTAAATCGGAAGTGATATGCAAGATCGGAAGTGAATGCAGCCCAGGATTTTATTGACATAAGGGTACTTGTTTCTTCCTGTTACTGTGATCACGTTAATTTTCATAGTAATTCTCCGGTAACTAAACGATTATAACGATTTGATAATTATGTTGTCAATTGTGCGTAATTGTACAGTATGCACATGATCTAGTTTAATGGAAAATCTCTCACGATCCTAACGATTCGGAATTATGTCATCAATCGTATGTAATTGTACAGTATGCACATGATTTAATTTAACCAATCAAATTATGAATAAATAACCAATCAACGTGCAGATTCACGGACAGATTTCTTTATTATATATTCTAACTATTGTCTGATATAAGATTCTAACATTAATTTTAGCCTAACATTAAGCGTTAAAGTTTTATTATAATCAGAATAGATACAGTTATCATGAAATTAAATAATATCAGATATGCAAAACTCAAGATAAAATTGTATATATATTTGATTAAAGCAAATCAACTATAGAAGTGTTGTTGTTAGTTAAATTACTTATTGAAAGGAATCGGTCGATACGATTTTGAATTAGTAATTTTCACCTTTCTGCAGCAGGAGTAGCAAATTTTGACTATTGATTTATTATTGGGAGTACAGGAGCATCGGTTTCAGCAAAATAGCCACATAATAATTATTATTAATGATAGCGATTGCAAGGGCTTCGTTTCGATTTAATGGTTGGTGATATGAAAGAAAAGTAAGATTAATTTGTAGCAAAAAAAAGTACAATGGTCTTTGATAAGCATTTGCTATAACATCACCCATTTGTGGCATTCTTATCCAGTGTTCAAAGGTGCAAAGGCCATCTGTCCAAGAGATTTCTTTCATAATTGTTTCATAATCATCATTGGCTAAAAATAAGGTTTGGTAAAATTGTTCTTTTTCAACCTATTCTTTTCGCAATTTTTTTTGTATCTCTGACCATTCACTTTCACTTCTTCCTAAACATACGGTCAATGCTTTATACCCACAATTACCATTTCCATCCACATTAATTATCTTTTTTATATGTTCATGCATATAAATCGGTAACTAATTATGATATAAAGGTTGATTTGATTCTTGCAAATGCATTATAGGTGCATTTTTTTTTTCTTTTTTTAGCAGTGTTATCTTGATTGATTTTGAGTTTGGGTAGGTTTTTTTCTTTTTTTTAGCATCTTTATCTTGGCGTTTGCTAAGAAGAAGATCTCGCTAAGGGAAGCTGACCAACCTTTATTTTTGATGCGTAACGATGCTTTTGGTGTCACAATTTCTTTGGCAATTAGTGCTTCAATTTTACTCAAAAATGTAACCTTTGATCTACCATCATTTAGTTTTTCATATTTCTCTTCAAGTATATATAGAGCCTTATTAATTGCTGTATCAGTCGACAAAGATGATGACAACTGAGGTAGTGAATCATGCTTTAAAAGCCAATATGGATGTATAATAGAAAGCGGTAGTGAATCATGCTTTAAAAGCCAATGTGAATGTATAATAGAAAGTGGAATGGGGCCTGTAGGTGGAATTATGTAGTGGTATGATAATTTAAAATTCAACCTCAAGCTATATTCACAAAAATCATTATTTATATTATCACAGTTTTCTTCAGGCTCACATATTTCTCTTTTTATTTGATCAATCGCCCATTTAGAAATTTTTCCAATAAGCTGTGTAAACCTCTCATTATTGAGTATAAATAGGTTAGCAGAAATAATATTTAAACTGAAAGTTCCATTTTTTTGTTGTTGATTTTGGCAAAATGCACGATTAATATGTAAAAATACTTGATCAAGCCCACTTGCTGCCTCTATTGCCTTTTTTAAATAGGTGTGACTTCCTTCTGCTCATTGAGTTGATTGAACTCTCATATGCAGATAATTTTTTGTGAAAACGTTTATCCAACACTCTGCATCTTGTTTCCATTCCTCAAAGTAAACCTGAATATAATTAAGATTTCTACTTTTCGTTGCTGCTTCTTTTACCTTATCAAATGCTTTTTCAGCTATACTCATCTCCTTTGTATAAGCTACTTTTTGAATTGATAGCAACAATTTGTTATAATCATCTTCAGAATCAAAAAATTATCTACATGCAGTTCTTAGATTTTATGCAAGCATATGCCAGATACAGAGCATTTTTTTGTCTTTGGAAAACTATATTTGCCGCTTTTTGAAGGGTCTAACACTTATCTGAAACAAAATACTTCCAGAGGACAAAAGAAGGTATCATATATTGTTTCTTTTAAAGTATGTAAAAACTATTCATAAGTATATTCCTGTTCATTTTCTACCCACGCCATTGCGATTTGATAAGTATCAAGAGATTTTGCATTACCGATATTACTAACACTAACAGCATTAATAAGAGGAAGCTTATATAAATTTATTTTGTATGTTGCATCTACTATAAGCACTTCCGGACATACAGCAACATGATGTACAGCTTCAATATGGGTAAAGAATAAATTTTTCATACAGCTTTCTTTTGATAATACATGACGAATTACGTAATAGCGCTCTTCCAACATTTGTAGAAGATGCATAGTGGTATCCCGATTTGAACCTTCATTTAGAGCATTTTTAATTCTGTCACGTTCATTAACAATATCTTTTGTATATACAGTACCATGTTTCCAATATACTGTGTCAGCAACCAACCGAACAGATGCATCACTTTTAATCATTGTATGAACTAGCTCCTTTTGTTCTGTGTTAAGAAGGCGGTGTTGATGAAGGCAGTGAACTTGTGATGGTGGAAGAAGATTATGACTATGATTAGTTTCAGAAGTATGTACTACCCAAACTCCAGCTTTCTCATCTAAAATGGTATTCAATTTAACCAGGCAGCCTTGACGTTTTGTAAATTTGACTCTTTTTCGAGATTCTTCAGTAATTTTATGATTATTTCTATATTGCCCCTTATTATGCATTGCATAGTAATAAAAGAAGCATGGCCACCTTTTTCACTACATGCCAATTTTGATGAAGATATGCTAAAAGCGAAGCCTGCTGCCTTAGCACCTTGTTGAGCAGCTTTCTTGAAACTTTTGGCTGTTAGAAATTCACTGCCAATTGCTAGAATTTGTGGTTGCGATGGCAGCATGATAATTACAAACAAAAATAATAAGTATTGCTAAAAATAAGGTTTATTCTTGTCATCAATTTATTAATACTGAATTTGTTTTAAAAAATTATGAGAGTGCGGCTTTGCATTTTTCATATTTTTTAACATTCTTTTATAATTTATAATTGCACTAGTCAGTTAAAAAATTTTTTTTGTTTCATTAGGATGTTTCAAACATAAAATCTTGTGTTTATAAAAAACCGGTAAGGCATTTATTACATTTTCATCTTCTGTTATTATTGAATGCGACAATTTTTTCTGGCATGTATAGCAATAAAACATGAAATTTTTTTAGTAAGTACTATTAAGATTCGCTACTATATATATATTTTTTTGGCTATATTCACTTTTTAAAGTGATTGTTATGGAGAGTATTTATATGCAAGTTTTAGAATTGCTGGGCAATGATCTTTAATTTCTAAACATAATCCCAACTTTTGCCATGTCGAATTCTTGTTTGAGCCACCTTTAATTGTAGTTTATTAAGAAAATAATTTAAACACATGAACAAAAATGCATATTTTTACATAGATCTAATCATGTATAAAAATTATTGTGACTATTGAGATCAAAGTAATAATTTATCTAGCAATTATTGTGACAGATCATAATGAAATCCAGATCAAAATGAAATTATGATATAAAATTTCGAAAAATAAATTTTTTTGGGGTTTATTTTTTAGAGATAGGGGTAAGGTTAGGGATTAATAAACAAATATAAGTGGGTTTTAGAAGGTTAACAGGTTGAGTAGAAAATGTGGATTTCATTTTAAATTATGATCTGCAACAATTATTACTGTTAAAATGAAATTGGGAGTTCTATTTAAAAATATAAATTCACTTATAGCCTATAAATTCTGATTCTAAATATTCTAATTATGAATAAATAAATAAAGTAAAAAAATTCCTACAAAATTTAATCATATTAAAATAAGTCCAATTTTCAATTTTATAGTAAATTATTCTATGCCATATACAGCATTTTGACTATTCATGTTTCAATACTAAATACAAATTCAAATGGGATACTAAATTCTTTTTAAAATCTAAACTTTATTCATGGAAATTGTATATATACGTCACGTGATCTGCACTGTCCAATATATCACGTGATCTGCACTGTCCGTATCACGTGATCTGTACTGTCCGTAAACACTGTCCGTAGAATTTCCGCTGGGGAAGATGTCTAAAGTCATGTACCCACGTGACTTTTTTGTGTAAATTAACCAACCGGAATTGCAAAATTTTGTTTACACGGATCAGCCCGAAGAAGTCAAAAAATAAAGAAAACGCAAAAAGAC